GTTATCACTCTTCCTCCAATTTTGAAGTCTCCTGTTCCCTCCAGAGCTTCCTTGATAAGCCATTCCCCGTACAGGTTAAAAAGGAATTGGTGATAAGCAGCATCCCTGTCTTACACTTCTACCTATCTCAACGCTGTTGGTGTCTCCTGAGTCCAGTCTCACTTTGACTTTTTGCTGCATGTACAGGTTTTTGATTAGTCTTCTATCTCTCCAATCAATTCCAATTCTCTGTAGGATCCTCATTAATTTCTTCCATTTTACTCGATCGAAAGCCTTCTTCCAGTCGATGAAGCAGGCACATACTTCTTCCTTGACATCGAGAACTCTCTCTGAAATTATTCTCATAACTCCGATGGCATCTCTGGTTCCTCTTCCTCTCCTGAATCCAAATTGGTCGTCTCCCATCACTTCCTCTATCTTCTTTTCTAGTCTTTTAGTCAGTATTCTAGTCATTATCTTCGCCGCATGTGAGATTAGGCTGATGGTCCTGTAATCGCCGCACTTCTTGGAATTCTTTTTCTTCTGTAATGGAATCATTGTTACTTCCAGAAAGTCCTTGGGCCACTCACCGGAGGTGTATATCTTGTTAGCGAGTCTAGTAAGAACCTTCACTCCTTTCTCTCCAAGTTCTTTCAATAAGTCCGATGGGATTTCATCATCTCCCATAGCTTTTCTTCTTCTCATATCCTTTATGGCCCTCTCTACCTCGCTCTTCAGTATTACAGCAAAATAATTACATAAAACAGCAAAATCACTATTGCTTATGTACATTTATAAGAGCTGAGAATTTCTGGTTGAGATAAATTCTTCTATGGGGGACTGAGATTGGAGACACTCTTTTAGTGTTAGCTTAAATTTTTTTATATCACGATTCTGACTTTTTATAGTGGAGGGGGAAGATTACTGAATAGCTTAATTCCAGTACAGAAAACACCTTTCTGATATTTACTGAGTTTAGTGTTTGGCACACAAAAGTTGTATCTGTAATTTGTACTTATATTGTGAATATGTGAGTTTGTTTGAACTATTTTAAGTTGACCAATACAAATGATAATAATGAGAGCAAGAATTCACGGGATAGTGGAAGAATATTAAATTTCTTAAACATTCCTTTAGTGCCTGCCATCATTCTAATATTCTTTTTGAATATAAAATACTTTTTTGCTGTCAGTTGAGTTTCCCCAGAAAATAATTCCATATGACATGAATGAATGGAAGTAAGCTTTGGGACCTTTGTTGTTTCTTTTATACATAAATGATTTACCCAGTATAATAACTAAATTTGCTACACCTATAATTTTTGCTGATGATACTAGCATCCTATTTTCTCATTCTAATACAAACGACTTTAATAAACACATTCATGCAACATTTGAAAATATAAATAGATGGTTTAGAATGAACAGATTATCACTAAACTTTAATAAGACACATTATATTAATTTTAAAATTAAGAGAAAAATGTCAGATACTGTCACAATAAGTTATAATAATAAATTCATTAATAATATCTTCTGTACTAAATTCTTGGGAATTATGATTGATGGTGCATTAACTTGGAAGAATCATATTGATCTACTTATTAAAAAATTGAGCAAGGCTTGCTATGTAATTAGAAATATGAAACCATATATGTCTATTTCAGTACTAAAGACAATTTATTATGCTTTCTTTCATTCCTTAATGAGCTATGGCATCATTTTCTGGGGAAATTCATCTAGTAGTCACACTATTTTTCTCCTTCAGAAAAAGGCAATTAGAACAATGATGGGATGTAGCAATAGAGTATCGTGTAGAAATATATTCAAAGAATTAGATATCTTACCGTTGGCATCACAATATATATTTTCTTTATTATTGTTTGTATTACAAAACAAAACTCTTTTTCCATCAAACATTGACTCTCATACTATTGATACTAGACAGAGACAAAATTTGTATCTACCCCAAGCCAATCTAACTATTTATCAGAAAGGAGTTCACTATGCGGGTATAAAGATATTTAATAAATTACCCACAGAGGTTAAGAATACCTCAAATAATTTTAAAAAGTTCAAGGTTGCATTAAGGCATTTCTTAATTACTCACTCGTTTTACACTGTGGATGAGTACTTAATTGGATAACTATTGTAATAAAAATACTAATTATATTGTCTTGAATTTAGTACGCTGCTTGTCTAGATGTAATTTTTTAATGTATGTATTTTATGTTTTTATACTTGAATTTGTGACGTGTTCTATATCCACTATTGGATTCTTGGAACTTGTAAATAAATAAAAAAAAAAGCAATATAGACTACTTTCTTCCTTCTTGATGTTCAAGATCATGTTAACCTCTTAATTTGAAACAACATACCCTTGCATTGAAACAGCATGAACAAACAGCATTCATTTAAGGAAAAGTTGTTTCTCTGCCATGTTAGAGTGACCACCTTTTCTCTCTTACCTTGTACTGCAAATATTAGATGATAAATAAGGATATGAGACAAGGCAGAGCAAGTGTTTAGTAAACATCCGACTTCTTACCATTATTATCTCCAACGCATTTAATAGTTTTAAAAAATGATCAATGATTTTTGTTATAGAAGATTATAGTTATGACCAAGTGACGGAATCATATTTTATTGAAAAAGCTCTACAGGTATCTTTCCTACTTAAGTATTAATTTAATACTGCATATCTTGGCTCGCTGAGCAGTTACCATTATATTCTACAAGACCAGGCTCCATGGAGTTAGTTCGAAATGGTATGAAATATGGTTTGCAATCCAATGCACCAAAATTGCATTTTCGTAAATTAGAAAGGTGCCAACAAATGACAGAACAGAATAAAATAGAACTTAGTACCATACCTTGCCAGAACCCATGGACGTTTAGGGTGAAATGACAGTCCTATCACACTAGCTAACTTCATTTCAAATTTGGTTAACATGGTCCCAAAATTAAATGCACACAATTAAAGCATGTGAATTTTGCACAATGTAATGTAATAATTATTATATAAGATAAGTACTTGTGATATTATAAAACGTTTTTTACCAGCACAAAATTATCTACTCTACGACGCACTTCTTCTACAAGCGATTCACAGCTCAGCTCTTTCCGTAATAACGAAAGCAGGTTGTTGACGGCAGTAATGAAACACAACAATGCCGAGTAAACAGATGACGTTTACGCAAGCTGACCATTGTTGTCGGTCCATATTTACACATTGTTGGCATGGATCTTACACTTTCTCCTTTCACTTTTTTGCCGAATGATCCTTCCGTATAGACGTATTTACATCAAAAATGATCAATGATTGTTGTTATAGAAGATTATAGTTATGACCAAGTGACGGAATCATATTTTATTGAAAAAGCTCTACAGGTATCTTTCCTACTTAAGTATTAATTTAATACTGCAAATCTGGGCTCGCTGAGCAGTTACCATTAGATTCTACAAGACCAGGCTCCATGGAGTTAGTTCGAAATAGTATGAAATATGGTATGCAATCCAATGCACCGAAATTGCATTTTCGTAAATTAGAATGGTGCCAACAAATGACAGAACAGAATAAAATAGAACTTAGTACCATACCTTGCCAGAACCCATGGACGTTTAGGGTGAAATGACAGTCCTTTCACACGGGCCGACTTCGTTTCAAATTTGGTTAACATGGTCCCAAAATTAAATGCACACAGTTAAAGCGCGTGAATTTTACACAAACTAATACACTCCACATCAAACCACTGTCCACGTCAACCGACTTTCACTTGTTTATAGACAAATACTACCAACACGATAAATATCTCTACCATAAAATTGAGCTTAAATGTTTGTCGCTGTGAAGTGTACAACACAAAAGTGTAAAATTCAATTTAATTTTCAGGAGACATTTTGATTAATGAAAACAATATTGTACACCTATAGTTATATGCTCAAGTCATCTAGAAAACTAAAGAAAGCATATTGTGAACACAGATAATACAACATATTGTGATGGTTCAACGAAGATAGCGGCAATAATTCCTCTGGAATTTCACGATAGCTGTACAGCGTTAGAACCTGTAAAATGTATGACACTCTATGGCGGAAGTCTGCGTCTATATAATCGTTGTGATCACGACCCAGGAAAATAAAGTCGACGTTACTTTAATGGGCCGCCTTTTCAATCTGTGACATCCAGTTACCATGGACTGGATGTGTTCGTTGCAAGCGAGGAATTGTTATCTGATGCAGTAATTGTTCATCTGTGGTTATCTCTTGTGGTATGGAACTGATATGCAGGGCATCTATTAACAATGGAGTAGTAACGTGAACAAATACACGTTAGCCACGAAGAATATCACAAATTACGTTGAACCTCCTTCGGAATCAGTCGGGGTGTAGTTCATGTGATGTCGGTAATTTTTGGCAATTTGGACTGATTATGTGAGTACGTAGAGTTCAAATCTCACGAGTACGCTTGTGCTATGACAGGCAGCATTGGTGTACAAAAGAAACAATTAGTCTTATTGTGTAACCTTGAACAAAAATGTAATTAAATTTGCTTACAGTAGGATGTGATCTCAGAAATGTTATTCTTTAACACAATTGTATTCTAATTTGACAAACTGTATATATCTCTAAATATAATAACAAAAACTGCACTCATCAGGAATATTGCTTTCTTGCAATGTACTATTGAAACATCATTGCTACTGCCTACAATTCATGTCAACATTACCTCACTACTGCCTTTTTTTTTAAAAAAAAACTGCAATCATTCCTGCAGTATATCAACATAATTCAAGTGTACATATTATCACCATAAGTTAGAGGAAGACACACTGTTCTAACTGCCTCCTTATATAAACAGTTCCAAGGTGGAGCAGCTTTATATTTGTTTAAATACCACAGATCAATAAATATGATGTATTATAAACATCACAAATTCAAACAATTTTATTTCATGTAACACATGTCCAATGAAGTATGCACGTGACAGCTTCACAAACTTCTGATTTGTTAACACATGAAAAGCTGCATAGGATACAGTCTTAAGTAACAAGAAAAAAACATTTCATTATATTACAATAGTTAGGAAAGAAAAATGTATAGACCATAAAATAATTTGCCACAGAAAGTAATTAAATCTGAGCAAATTATTGAAATGCACACACATTACAAAGCTTGCATAGATCTAAAAGTGACAAGGCAGCACACAACAGTGTTGAGTCTTTCATGGCCAGACTGTACATAGAGCTCCCCTTTGTCTTCTCTTGTACCAATGAAAAAATGTCCTCAACAAAATATGCACTCCTTACTCAGGTTGTAGTATTATATATCACAATTCCAAGGAAAGCTAAATTGTGTCTCCTAGTTAATGGAACATTAAGTTTAATCATCTACTTCATAACAATAATATGAACACGCATGAGTATTTGATGAAGCATGTGATTCTCAACTTTTAATAATGTTATACACACAATGTTATGTAGACAACCTATGCTCCTGATAGAGTGATGGACTTCATAAATAATAAAAATACAGATGGAATGGGTTATAACAGTGATGCACAACCAGTGTGCCATGGAGGTCATATAAGGGCGTCACGAAATTTTCACCTCATTATAATTATAACCATATGAGATAAATAATTGTTAACCTTGTTTTCTGCTCTGTCTCAGTCTTCATTTTCTTTATTATGATCAGGGTGACTGAAGACAGACAAGATCTACCAAATGGAATTGGAAAGCAACACAACCACTTTGCAGCAAAACATGTATACCTCCCCTTTACTTTTGTTGCCACTGTATGTATTTTTCTGCAATCTACACATATAAATAAGTATGTTTAAGTTTAAATGTTTACACATAGTTAATAAATTATTTCAAATAATGAACATTTTTTGGTTGGGGTCAAGTTATAATAAGTTGTCACACCCAATCAATGCCATAAACCATGTACCTCCCCCCATGATATGCAAAATGGGGTTGGTGTGCCGCCATGACTCTTCGACAGTATTTAGTGTGCCGTAAATGTAGAAAGGTTGCGTAACACCGGGTTATAAGACTAATCTTTCTTATCTTTTTTGTCAACTTCATGAGCTGAAGACTTTATTTCATGACAGCTGCTGGAATCTGGTCTTGCAATGTTCTGAGATGCAAAGGAAACCAAATCTCTCTTCATAGCATAGGCATCCTCTCCATCAGCATAGTACTTGGGTTCAATTTCTGAGATGCTGAAACAAAATTACTTATAAGATTTCACCATACTTCTTACCATATGTCAAGAAAGATCATATGCTCTGCAATTATTTTAATTATGGGAAATTCTTTAATACTTACGTGAATTTTAATGTGTTTGTATATAAATTCAGTGCTGCCCTGTTGCTCTTGCGTACATGAAGAGATACATACTTTGCATTGAAGCATTCTACCATTGATCTAGAAGCTTGATCCATCAGTTTTTGAGCTAAACCCAATCTCCTGCAGAAATTAAATGTATCATCAATGAATGAACCTATTTAATGATCTTTGGAGAGTAACACCAGACCTAAATTGAGCAAGCCACAGAAAATACTGCATGTTTAATTGTGGAGTCTCCACTGTAGTGAGGCAGATGATCACATACATAATGCTAGTATGCTGCTATGCAAATAAATGTGTGCATTTTGTAAATGGCACAAACTTAAGAATAACTTTCTTAAATGGAGTGAGTGACAAGATAACTAGGGACATATTTTTTATTTACCTATGGGAGCGTTTCACGGCAAGAGATGTAATGTGCCCATGAGGGTCATCTTCACTATCTTCTTCCATTTTAGCTAAAACATATCTGAAACAAAGTATGTGTCACCTCATAAAAGAACAATAAAATTAACATTTGTTGTACAGGAATAGGTAATTTAAACCCCTGTATTGTGGGCCTGCAGACCAGACTTTCAACTCTCAAGTTAATGTTTTAGTAGTACTCCAATGTATGGCTACATGACCTTGAGTATGCTGTGACCCACAGCTGATAAAAGTTAATATGTGCATCTGACAAGCGATTTCATCATACCAAAACTGACAAATGTAATTTGTGAATAGTTTTTATTACAGAAGATTCTCATCTCACTGACATTAAAGACTGTACACGCAGATGGAATAAAAAGACAAATACAAACCAACTTGTCATCATGGCATGTTACCGATGGAAGAAACAGCCTCTAATACAGAGGGTACTTGCGAATATACTGAATAAGCAGTCACATAAAGCCACAAAAGGATGGTCCTTCAACTTAGGTTTGGCAAGGGATTGTTAACCGCTCATAAAAAATTACAACACACATACCTTTATACTTGCCCCTGTAGCACACCTTCATGGCACAGAGACTTCTCTACCAATCTTTACATTCCCAAACTGACACACAGATTTTCTTACAGACAGACTGTAAACCATACTTCAAGATGGGCCAAACCAAGAGTATGAGTTTGAAGAAACATATATTGGTACTGAAAAATCAACAGCAATAATTCTTACCCAACTATATTTCCCCTCTCATCTTCAGCCACATAACTCAACTGTGGCCAAGAGAGACCATGATAGAAGTAATATTTCATCTGGTAGTTTTCTGGCAAGCAGAGCAAATTGCAATGCTGCATATTCATTAAATCTTCTGGCTACAAAAAAGGTATCACAAATGACAACAAACAGACATTAACTTTCATATGTACAGGAGAAACTCTTGGTTCACCAGTCCCCTAAATATTTTATTCCATGAAGTGCCTTAACATTTCACTACAAAATAAAAAATATATAGCACACTTAGTGTACAATCATTTTATATTTATCATCTACAAGTTTTCACTTGTTGCAGACTACTTCTTCTTCTTATAGCGTTATAACCCTGTGTGGGTCTTAGCTTGTTTGATGAATTTTTTCCATTCTGTCCTATCATTCACAATTCTTCTCCATCCCCTTACTCCCATCGTCCTCACATCCTCCTCCACGTCGTCTATCCATCGTTTCCGTGGTCTCCCTCTCATCCTTCTTCCCATCGGTCTCCATTCCATCACTCTTCTAGTTACCCTGTTTCCTTCCATTCTTGCAACATGGCCAAGCCAGGCTAACCTTTTGCTTTTGATTAGCCTCACGATATCTGCTCCCTGTATGATACAATCTAGTTCATGATTCATCCTAATTCTCCAGGAGCCATCACTATTCTGTATTGGACCATAGATTTTCCGTAATATTTTACGTTCAAATGTTCTAAGTTGTTGCTCATCAAAGCTAGTTAATGTCCAGGCTTCACATCCATATGTGACTACTGGTCTTATCAGAACTTTATAGATTCTCAGTTTAAGTTCCCTCCCCAGTATTTTAGACTTCATTAAATTCTGATAGGCATAGTAACACCTATTACCATTCACAATACGTGCTTTAATTTCATTAGTTACTGAATTTATAGTATTAATCTGTGAACCCAGGTAATTAAAATTCTGCACATGTTCAAAATTATAATGTCCTATTCTCAATTTATTTGTGACATTTCTTGCTGCTCTTGTAACTTTCATATATTTTGTTTTCGATTCATTTATTTTTAGCCCCCTTAATTCTGTTTCTTCTATCAATTTTAATACTGTTTGTTGCAGACTACTAGATGAGTGTTTTGTTGAGGAGTTATCCACATTATGTTAAGTTAATCAAGTTGTGATTACACAAAGCAGGGACATATATGATTAACTTGTTGGTTAGTTATAACCATCTAAGGTGTAGACTGATTACAAATGAATTTCTAAATGGACACAAAATTTTAAGCACACTGTTAAAGGAAATGGTTCATTATAGATGAGCAACTGTAAGTGAATTCTCAATTCTATCACACTTCATCCATAATGCTCCTACATATGAGTAACCTGATTATCTAACGATGCGTGTAAGATCAGACCGGCATAGTCATAATAATTAGAACGCGATATCCGATACATGCTATGTAAAGGTAAGTTTGAGTGGCTTGCATTAGACGTACAACAGTAGTTAAATATGTTATGCGCGTATCTTGTTTCGCAGTTACATTCGAAGTAACTCATTATCTCTAAGAGTACGCGCAAAATAATAGGAATCATCAAATTTGTCAGTCGAACAACTGCTCTATAAAGCACTCATACAATGTTGAGGTTAGGGAGACTTCTAACTTGCAATTAAGGTATGCCTTATTTTCTCCATATTAAATAAAGGTGACATATCATTTAGAACCCCTAGTCACATCACACATACCCTTGCACATCTGATATTCATTTCCTAGAAGTGTTACAAAATTATTTCGTTCAACAAATAATTTTACACAAGCATCACAGCCAAACCGGCATTAAAGCTAGTTAGCATGAAACTTAGGTTAGTATAATACTTGTATAGCATAATCTGTGCTTCACCACAACGTTGGTTACCGTGATCAACATAAATATTGTTGGCAGCTTGGAAGTAATATGGCGACATAAAATTTCTCTTTCCATACTATAGCGCCAATATTTACATATCTTGAAATTTACCACAGAAACTTTTTGTTACATATGACGAACGCATGACATTTCTATGCTAGCACCTAATTTTTCTGTATTTAGTTAAAACATAGCTCAACAAATGCAATTAACGACGTCCACGATAGCTATCTTCTTGGTTGTTCTGCCGTGTAGTCTGGTATAAGTTTACCAACGTTTCAGAGGACTATACTGCCTCCATCATCAGGGCGAAGAAGAATATACAGTTTTTCACATATTTCTAATAGTCATTGTCAAACTAATTTTGCAGTTGTCAAATTGTTCACTGAATATGCTGTCTTCACATAATTAACTAATGCTTACATGCCAGCAGAACTTGCTAAGGCTGTCTGATAAGTGATTTGTATACTTCACTGACTTTTTTTTTCTGTCATTCTTTCATAGCACTGCAGCAATGACGATTTAAAGAACTGAATGTTCTAAAGAGTTCTAAACTAAAAAGTTGGAGAAACAGTTCTGATTTTTCAGAAAACTATGCCTTCATCTTACAAGATAAAGATCAGGGTGTTCATTGTCACAATGCCTAGGAAATTAATCAAACAAAAAATATTCATAAATCACAATGCCTATAAATACATACAATATCATCATTCACCCACATTCAAGTTCTCTGCACTGCCACATTGTCAGTGAGTTCACCCACCCATTTCCATATTAGTTGAGTGCAAATACAACTGTCCCTTGACAGAAATGTATCCACCTAACTAAAAGGACAACTGACAATGATTCTCTTAAAATCAGCGTCTCATTTACTATATGAATATGATGCTAGACACAGTCCACTTGACTGGAACATGCAGTGAAAACAACCAGCACAAAACTCTGAAGTGTATTGAGAAATTAAATTTATTTTGCAATCAGTTATTATTTCACACATTTTATTTTATATTAATCTATGTAAATGTTCTGAAGAATACAATGAGGGAATATAATGAAAAACTGATAACTATGAATAAATTTAGTTATCTACATACACTCTAGATAAATACATTTGGAAATTTACTATTCATTTTAAAAATGTATCCATATACATTAACATTCCTATACACAAAAGAAGCACAATTTACTACACAGCATTGCCTGTTAACCCAGCATGATTCTGTAAGCTAAGAGATGGATCTATACAGTTTTCCACCTGACTAAGAATGCCTCAAAGATATAATTTTCCACAAGTAACTTTCAAACTACACCAAAAATTATCATCTCAAGAGGAGTTCTGTAACTGCCCATCTTCTGCTCAATAAGGAGCTCCTCATTCAATGATGGATAAAGAGTTTTAGACATCTGCTTATAAAGCACCACAGTAATATTAACATTTACTTCATTAAATTAAAATACAGTTTTTGTAAGTACACCAGCTTAGTTTAATTAAGATATGTACAGCACATAACAAAAATATGGAGATGTCATGTACATCTGAGAGCTACCACTGCATGGAGCATAGACATTGTGACCAAGAGGTGTTTTCTTTTTCTCCCTTTATATAATTTTAATAACTGTATGAACCAAGAACCAAATACTGAATGTGACGAGAATGTTCTTTCTCAGATAAATTCTAGCCATTACACTTCAGAAGAAAATTACATAATCAGGAAACAAATATTTAATGAGACTGTAGTCTGTGAAATGCTCTTCTTTTCTTCTCTCATTTCTGCAAAACACACTTTCCATTTATTAGAAATAATTTACTTTTCATTCTGTATTCTAGCTCCAGTTCAGGCAGGTTTCACTGTACAAAAATAATGACATTTCATTCAAGTATATTCAAAGGTAAAGCTAATGGCAGGGAATATGACGATGGTGATAGAATTAAAAATGAGATAAACTTTCTAGAAACTGGATTTAGTGTCTGATACTGTAATATCAATCAGAATAAACACCTACTGTGGCCTGGCAATTTAAGTGGTTATTTTTTTTAATTTTCAAATAAGTTATATAATAGAATACTATTTATAATTATTACTAGTGGCTCTACAGTTCACGAAGGACCTTCGTCTCCTCACACATGGGAGGTTTCTTAAATTTTTTAAACATACATAGGACACCATGGTTATGTACAAATACCAGTAAAAGAAATTAAACAACATTCACCACAAGAAGATTTCATACATAATTAAACAACCTAATAATCATGGCTGGTAACAAGCCCCATCATCAGGGCATCTGGGATACAGACAGTTAAGCACCTCTGAAACAATGGCTAATTTCTATGAGATTACAAGATGCAACAACCTAGACATTGTCACCTTCATATTTACTGCTATGGGAACCTGAAATCTCACATACCTGCAGACAATTCATTTATGTTTTCCCAAATTATGTGCCAAAATGGTGATATTTTAGGCATATATTTTTATACTTCAATGTGGGGATGACCAGACAGTGTGGTTAAGTTGAGTAGGCCCCCTCCACTCTCTTTAGGAAGAAGTAACACAAGGTCTGACAGACCTACTTCACTGTCTTATGGTTTTCTCCCCACATCGGCCCTGACGATGGAGACAGTGGGTCTTTGAAACATCTATTTTTAATTCAATATAGATTCAGATGAACACTTGAGAAAGTTTTAGTACATTTATTCATTGCAAAAGGTTTAGATCTTAAAAACAGTACATGCCACAGAACGAACAATAACAAAGTGAGATTTCAGTATTCTGAGATTTTTATTTTTGTTTGCTGGTTCTTTTCAGCATAACTATGTATAATTATTTTTAATTTTTATGAACATAAATAAAACCAATGAGGAGGCTAGGGCTCGACTTTGGGCTGTTACGCCATAGTAGTAGTAGTAGTAAATAAAACCAATATAAATAAGTGTTAGAAGTCAATAAACTCTTTAAAAAAGGTACTACTTTCCTCACAAATCATTGACATTGATCATATATAATTCACAGTCAGCAAGATCTAAAAGTAATTAATAAATCTAAAAGTAAATAAATGTGATGAAGAAAAGAACTCTGCAAGAACCTGGTATACTTTTTAAACTTGAAAATATCAATCACACTTCTGGAAAAAAAGACCATTTGCTCTTTTACTTAATATTTATTACTATAGCTAACATTTGGGTGCTCTGAAAATCAAGAACCTTATCTCTTGACACCACCTGATTTGTAATTTTAGTAGATCAATCAACAAGTATTAAATTATAAGTAGAAATGTATAACAACGTACTTGATATTCATGTACTCACATGTCCTCCTGTTATAAAATTACAGTAAGGCTAATTTATTCAGAACATTTTGGTTACTTTTCACATAGCAAGAGTGTTCAAAGACACATTTTGAAAACAGTATTAATCAAATTATACATAATACTTCATTAAATGTAACATATGTTTCATCTTCAGCTTATTTCTTTTCAGTGCAACCAATTCATATTGGCTGGAGGAAATACTAAAAATAAGGCATTATCTGTCATTACATAATTTCAAATTCTCAAATGATGTAACAAAACATGGAAAGAAGCTTCTCTTTGAAGTATCAATTTTTGGGTCAACTTCCATATCCAAATAATTACTTCTCTCAGTATGAAGTGAGGAACAGGAATGGGAAAAATATAAAACTGAACAAATGTGGTGGCTTGTTAACTAACTTCCGAGGTCAGAACAATGGAGACTGCACCTTGATGAATAGAAAAATAAAGAATGAATATAACATTTAAAGCCATCTGACACATTTTTCACAGAACTATGAAAATGTTACCTTCTCAATGGGAACTAAATACAGAGCTGTTTCTTAAGTCAAATGGAACAAACTGAGAAGTTACATACAAGAATCAATAAGAATAGATCAATCAGGTGAATTCATGAATGCTCCTCTTGGGTGATGCAAGACATGTGACGCAATCATAATGGATGTAGTAAAATTATTTTCGCTTCCTGTATTTGGTGCGACCACGACGGCGGCGTGAAGGATTAGGTCTTGGTTCAGGCTTTTTTGTTGGTCTAAATACAGAAAAAAATGAAATAAAAAATATACTTATTTTGTTCAAATTGTAAATTGTGCAAAAACCATCATAAACTTCAAGACTAACAGAATAAATGAGTCCAAGAAACTTACTGAATGGACAAGCAAGTTTATTTATAATCAATATTTAAACACCTGTACAACCAATTTTTCTGATATCAGGTAAGTTGGATAGTTGAGGTAAGCCACTTTTCATTCATTAATAGTAATTTAACCTGTAAAGCTAACAAAGTGTGATTCTGTATGGGCATTCCAGTTCACAACAATTCTGTTCGTCTTATGTACCATCATTTGTTATGAATGATGGAATGTAAGAAATACAAGCAGTTTCCCCTACTGGGCCAATATCAATAGCTGTTGCAACACATACACACTTTCTCTGTAATAAACATTATAATCACAATTACATTTCTGAAAAGAAATGAGATGCATTACTTTCATATCACCCTTAGTCACTTCTTTAAAAACTATACAAGCACTTGTTCCTTGTTCTACAGTCTGGATAGATGAAATGTACGGTATTTAATAATGCTGTAGTAACTGCAGAGCTTATACAGCATAAAATTGTGCACAACCATGTTTGATAAAAATGAGAGGAAGCCTTGGCCCAATTCCAGCATTAACCTAGAGTGACTGAAAAGGAAACAACAACCAGCCAAGACCCCAAAATAAATACCAGAAACACTGCTGGTTTTGCTTACTCGCTAAGTACCAATGTCTTAATTACAAACCTTTGTACTCTGGGGACAGGAAGTCCTGGTTTCTTGTGCTGTACAAGATGTTGCTGCACCAGGTCTGCCAACTTGCCCTGTTGCGCCAGCATAGACAGGAATGTGCAAATAAACTCATCATAATTGTGCGTTCTTCGGCAGTCATCAATCTGTTGGAATGAAATAAAGAATACATCCACCGCACTTACTGCTCATGGATTACTGTTCTGGGATTGTGTGTAGATGGTTACAGGACCAAATCCTATTATAGTAAGAACTATTCTGTTGCCTTCAATTGTAAATATGTTATAGATTATTGTTGTTGTTGTTATTACATTGAAGGACCCATTAATTCATACACAATCTTCCATTTGTCCAAGACTCTTTAAGATTTACTTTATATATTTGGTTCTCTTTGTGTGTTGTTGGCAGTTCTTATTGATTTTTACTGTATTATTTGCATTTACATTTTAATTACACTTTGTCCTTTTTTCATCACCTCTTGTAAATGGCATTTCTGAAGTCCTCAAGAACTTAAATAAATTAACTGCATTGAATTAAATTACTGGGAAGAACATGTCACTAAAGTAAAGATTCTGTCTACATTAAATTTGTCAGGTATAACTAAAAAGTTTAATACCATCACCATGTTTGTATAAACACTAATTCATGCAAACTTATGTTAAATGTGTACATGGCTCACCACGTCATTTAATAATTTACAAAAAATTACCTTAACAAACTTTATGGTTTACAGCCTGGTGTGTATTTAAGCTAATATAAAAGTATAGGAGAATAACCATTTACACAACTTTTATTCTACAGCAATTAATAAATGCTGAAGAATAAAAGTTATGTTGACAGTTATTCTCGCATACTTTTAATTATCTTAACAAAAGTTTCACATTTTTAAAACACTCATTATCATACATCATTTTAAGACCATATATTATGTGGCACTAGGGTTCATCCTCAAAATAGCAGGTACTTACCTGCTATTTTGTTATTATACATTATAATAAATTAAGAAGCCAAGAGGTTAGGGTGACCTCCAATGGCACAATATTCATACAAATAGTTGTGAAACTTGGTTAATTAATTCATAAAATGAAAGAGGGATGAAAAAACACAGGCACCAATGTGATTTCATAAGCATACCTTCTCTCATTAAGAAATTAAAGTACACCAACAAAATTAATATTCTAGCCATCTCACCTTATATTTTTTACGTTTGTCATTTTCATCCCGCAAATTAACTTCACAGACACTGATCTCATTTTCAAGATTCTTCAACAGGGCCAACAAATCTTTTGGAGCAAATGTGTGAGGCTCAAAGAGTTCTGGATATTTTGAACACAGTTTGGTGTCCACCTTTTTATGACTTGTGACAGCAGAGCCTGTGTCAACTGAAATTGGACTTGACGCCTGCTCCTGAGTTTTTTCTGCCTCCTTCTCCCATATGCGTTGTCCACCTTCCAGGCACACTTTCTTTGTTGCATTTATAACATCTGTACACACACGTTTGCAGTTGGCATTCAAACCAGTCATGCTGCGCCCTATAATAAGAGTTATTAAAGAACAGATACGTGAAGTTATTGCTACTTTTATAGAAATAATATGCTTCAAATATAATTGTATTATGACTATAAGAGCAATGTTTTTACAGTACAACTCAAATGTATTTTTTGAAAACTGGCTGGCACATTGATTCAGCTGTATTGATTTATGTGACTGTAAACACATTGCTGGGACTTGTGTTTCTATAGTGAGAGCAAAATGATTATTTCAATGAAGAGACAAGGATGAGTTGAGATGAGATTCCCTGCAGGAATGAGAAATGGTATATAAATTTTGGTCAGAAACCTGTTGGATGACATCAGCACATAACTAATTCCATGGAGCAGAGTCCTTCTTCAAAAGCTCAGCTAGTCAGGAATTCCCTGCCTTTTATGGGACCAAAAGGTTCATTACTGTGGTCACAACAGACTGCTACAAGTCCCTATCCTGAGAAAAATAAATCTAATCCACATTCCCCATCCCTATTTACTTAAAATCCATTTCAATATTACTCTCCCATTTACACCTATTTCTTCCAAGTGATCCCTTTCCCTCAGACTTTATAGGACATAAGCATAAATGGAAGGATAATATTAAGTTAGATAATTAAAAAATATGGTGTGAACAGAAATGGTTCATGACAGGGTCCAAAGAGTGAAATGTTCCACAAAGGCAGGTAATTTCTTGACCAGCTAAATAATTATTGGGTTTTCAACCCAGTACCTTCAAATTAGTGAAGAGATAATGAAGGGTTGCAAAACATGCTTTCTCTTCTCACCTGTCGGTGACTCAGCCTTATCCTCAACATGGCCTGTCCCTGTGTTTGTGCCTGCAGCAGCTGACCCTGCTCCTGCCATGCGGATGACAACTAACTTCTTGAAGTCCTTGCTCGATGTGGGGCTACTCTGTCCAGAATTCCAACCCCAACCTGAAATAATACAAATTCCTGCAATATGGAACTGATGTTATGCCCAAACAAACAAGGCATGAAGACACATGAGACGTGTATGTAAAACTGCAAGAACATTAAACCTCAGCACCAAATGGAGTAACCAGCTTTCAGGCCTGGAAAAGAGCTCTCAGCACCCACTGGATATTAGGCTGGACAACCCTAATGCCATTCTAGGTGGTGGTGGTGAAGATGAACATTCCAACACAAAGCCTGCTACTGGTCTCTATACTAAGCCAGATGAATCCAGTTCACATTCTCAGATCCTATACAGTAGCTTTAAAATCCATATTAATATTATCTTCCATCTATGCCTAGTTTTTGTATACTTTATTACTTTTAAACTGGTGCTATTTCCTTACTTAAAATTGCTGAAAGATGATTCTTCTAATGTTTAAAGACCCCCAAATTTAAATAATTTAATATCTAAAACAGAATAAGTACACTAAATGCAACCCCATCAAATCTGCCAGTCAACTACAGGAAATATACAATCAAAAGTGCTTCAACCTATATATAAAGCACAGATATTTATAGTTATTTTCTAACTAGTTTCTCATCTTTCTTAAAACTTCATTGTGGTGTTCTGTGTACATGAAACTCTCTTACAATAATATGTACAAAAATTGAATTCATTTCTTTAATATTAGTGTACTGCATTAACAGCCAGAAGGCCAATTACAGATGCAACACCTTTAACTTAAGGAATCATTATCATAACAGTTCCTGATATAAAATCACCTGTTCTATAGACTTGAATATTATGAAGTTCAAATTGAATTCTGTAAGTCTGTAACATGTCTATTCTAGCATATGATTTTTGGCACAGCTGTCTTAATTTTTAAAGTAAACATTAGTCAATTAGGTTTCCATAACAGTTACTTGAGTACAGTTAAGTGTTAAGTTGTGTTCACTACTTCAAATACAGGCCAGTTTCACACAGACTGTTGAGAGGAAACAGTGAGTCTACAGTTATGAAATTAGACTGGTACTATGTTTACCACATAATCATGGGAAGCATACTTTCCACTTCCACTTTTTGGAAATCAGCTCTAGGTAAGTTTTAATCTTAAACCAGTGTTGAATCTTGATAAAACCTTATTTCAAAGGCAATATGGCTGTATTTCATCATTCTAACAATCTCAAAGTAAGCAAAATAAACACCAACAGCATGTGTTTGGAAACATGAATTAAGCAGTAAAAAACCCTCTTTATAAACTAGACCAATGTCAAACACCACCTCATAGGTTGGTAAAAAAATTATAATTTCTTTGTAAGTACTTGAGGTTCTCATGGTGTTGTAGTATGAAGATGGCTGTCTTCTGGGTTGTAGCCTCCATTATCAGGGTGACCACCCTAATGATGGAGGCTGGAAGGACCTCTGTAACATTCATAAACTTCTACCAGACTACACAGTGCTACAACTCAGAAGACAGCCATATTAATTTCTACAGAAGTCCTACAGAAAATGAATATACATTGCACACAGTTAATCACAAAACAGGCCTGTTCCAATTTATTCAAAAATTTTAAAAACGAATTTTCTCTCAAATATCTGTTAGATAAAAGTGCAGCCTGCACCCAGATAAATTCAAAACATTCTATAGTACTGACAGTTATATACATAACACACAAGTATTTATTCTTTTTCGGCACTGAAGTCTAATAGATGCTTTGCCACCTTCAACCACAAAGGTTATATAAACACTATTTGGTCAGTGTTAGCACTAAGTAGACTGTGAATCAGTCCCTTGCAAAGATTCTGTTATTGTGTGTTAACACTGAAATTATGGACAGACATCCATGCATTAGGTCATATTTGAACCTGCCAAATTGGCTTAGCCTGTGTGCCAACAGAATCAATTTAACAAGCTTCTCTCTTTGAGATTTAAGATTCTCACAGTGGTGAAGACTTCCAAGGTGGTCTTCTGAGTTATGACGTAATGTAGACTGCACTGCCACCAGCTTCAGCTCTGACGACATGCAGATGGAGGCAGTATGTTACTCCAAAACGTTGGTACCCACCTACAAGTCCACACAGAATAATACTCCAGAAGACCATTATGGACAGGGCTCTACTTATGTAAAATATAACAGCATCTTTTGTAAAATAATTTACAGGAAGTCCTTGTCCTGAACCACGAAGGGCAGACCTCACAGACAGCAGTCACTTTTACTACTGTATTAACCTACCATTCCCTTATATGGGTCATGTCTGGATTTCGGCTTCCTGCAACTATGGCTTGGTAAGACTGAGCTTCTAAGGGTCATAAAACCCCCAACTATGTCTTTCAATGGGATGAAAACATTTTTATAAGAGAATAATCTGATGTCTGACTCCTACAGCTTGTTTGTGGCTTACTTAATGATGCTATCAGTAGCTCAGACTATACAGCATCAGCATGACTTAGAAATAATGAATTGGAAAGGGTACAGAAGAAACAATCATGGGCTAATTTAAGGTGACAATCTCTGGGCTGAAATTTTAACCCAAGATCTCCCAAAACTAGAGTTCTAACCACTGGACCTCAACACTCAGACTCTGATTCCTCTATTTCGGTAAAAAACTTGATAATATAAAATATTCTTGTTCATCAAGGAATGCATCCTAAAACATGCACAAACTTAGAATAGATATGCAGAAACAGCTCAGTTTCTATTTTATCATTATCCCATTTATGTTTAATATTGTAGACTCTTTTGATGTTTTATACATGAGATTCTTAAGTTGAACAGCACAGTAACAATTACAAGTATTCAAAGTTCTAATTAAACTGTAACCAAAAACATCACATCTACCACAAATTCTATTCCTCTTATTTTCAGGTTTTTCAGCCTCTTCTGAAAATGTGTGTAATATCACAAGAAATGCCTTGCTGTAATGACAAAATAAACACAGGAAACTCTGGCAAAGGTATTTTTGAAGGGAAAAATATCGAAACTCCAAACACAGCTCCCGCTGCTGCTGCAGTCCTTACTTTCTTGCATAACTCCGCAAATGTATATTATCAAACTTTACGTACAACAACCAGTACAAACACTGATGCCACTCTTCAACCGTCAATCAAATCTCCGTACGACCACAGCATGAACAACCAGATTATTTTGCCAGAAGTGACTGCATATCAGGTAAAATTTATATATCTCTCTATGTAAGGTTTGTAAGCACATGCTGCTCACACTGTTGAAACCATCAACAACATAAAATCTATCTTCCAACATCCAGCATACAATCCTGACAGATGTTCACATTTGTGGGTTGCTAAAGGATCATGTTAAGGTTAGGAAAAAACCTGTTGCAACCTTCAGGGTTGTTGAGCTGTGTAGTCTGGTAGAAGTTTATTGGCATTTTGTGTTAACTTTTACCATAATACGTGGCACAACAACCCAGAACCTGTACTCTCATCTGTTGCAGGAAGTTCACAAGAAACCAGTTACCACTATCACTCCACTGATAAGAACAAGCCAAAAACAACACATCAGCACAAAGGAAAACTCCTCCCCAAGTACCAATAAATTTTCAACAGGTCTTCTACAACCCCAACGGAGCCCTGGACTGAATATACCATGTACAACTGGTTTAAGATTACCCAACCTTACAGACTGCACAAGATACTACACGTGCAACTCCACATCTGGCACACTGCTTTCTTACTCCTGTCCATCACAAATGGCCTTCAATGCGCACAAACATGTCTGTGAAGTAACTGTTTACAAAGGGTGTAAAGAACAAATGATAAGTAACAGTTACCTTATCACACAACCTCCTGAATTTATTAGCCCTGTTACTACGCCAAATCCTACCTTATGCTTTCAACCTGGAAAAATCCCTGACCCAGAATCCAGCCACCATTATTTTATCTGCAATCATCATAGTGACACACTTGTACAGTACAGAATGACCTGCCCAAACACTCTACACTTCTGTGCAAGAGAGAACGCATGCAAGAAGCAAAATGACTGTTCTTACTAACAGCACAATTCCTTCATCCCTGTAACACACTTCTACACAGATGCATGAATACCAACAGTTTTAAACTAAAATTTAAATTCTGCTGTAAATTTGGCTGCAATATTTCATTACATTTCATATTATTGCCATTACAGCAGTACTGTTGAAGCACAAGTAAGTCACAGTTACCTAAAACATTCTGAACCCAGATGTGTTTCCATACACTTAACAATAGTTTATGAAGTGCAGTAATACCAATGAGAGCTTATTCAGGCCTGTTTTGTCCTCTTACCAACCTGTGCTGCTGCTTCTTTGTTATGTGAGATTAGAAGTTTTCACAGCAGTGAATAACATTCAGAAGAATGCATCACCTCCATCTTTAGGGTATTAAAACTGTTGCCGCCTTGACATTACAATTTATGTTATCAAATACTTCATCTTCTTTCAATTATTCATTTCATAGTTTACAATTCAAGTGGCATTCTTATTTCTTTACATTTGTAACAAACCACATTTTTTAGAACAGCAATTTTTAAATAGTATTTTGTTCAGATCAAACATAGATATAATTACAAATTCTGTAGTTGAAACTAAACATGAAAATAAATCACTGACTTTTATAACTATTAATATAGCATTAGTAGCCTCACCCAATAGACGGAAGCATAAGAAATGAAAGTATAAAGTAAAAAGTTATTTTTAGAAGTTTTTGTTTTATAATGAGACTGAATATACACAAGACTCCTTCTTCTTCTATGGCTCTCCGGTCCATATTCGGTCCATGGCCTCCTCAATTATCCTCTTCCATTCGGTCCTCTGTTAGGTCCGTCTGTCCGAGGCTTTGATTGAGGTTTTGAAACATCTTCCTTTTTATGGTGCAAGGTTGTTAGCCTTGCGACCAACCCCCAACCTGGAGAAACACAAGACTTAGCAGTAAAAAGAAAGACTACAAACCTTGAGTTGGAGAATTAAATGCAGAGCCAACTTCTGATGACGTATCAGTGCTAGAACTGCTAGGAGCTGGTGATGTTTGGATAGTGAGTGGAGTGGAGTAGTCAGGAGGGCACAGCATTGTGCCACTTGCTGTTGTTGCTGCAGCAACTGCTGATGTTGATTTGTCTTGCAGACCCTCCACGTGTGTATTTAAACTGTAAGACATGCACATAAAATGAGTTCCCTCTAACAGCATACAGTAGATTAGAAAATTCGAAGAGAATTTCAGATATTAATTAATTGTATAATGCAGGGTCTTCCTTGAAAAGCTGACAGTTACTAAACTGAACAAGAAATCTGCTACTTTTATGGAACCTAAAGATTCATTACTACGTTCACAAAAGCATGCCACTCTGGATCTTATACTGAGCCAGTTCAATCCAGTTCACACCTTCACTTCCTGTTACTGTAAGGTCCATTTTTATATCAGCCTATCAAAGCTGAAATCTCCCAATTAGTCTCTTACCTTCAGGATTTCTGATCAAACAGTTACATGCATTTTTCACTTTCTTCAACTGCACTATCAGAACACTGTAGTCTCCAAAGGTAAAATGTTACTATAAAATACTGTAAAATTCTACTATATTCTGGCAATGATAAAAAAATATGATGCTGACAAAAAATGTGTGTGGTGCTTTCAAAATTATATGCATTACAACCTTCACTCGCCTATAACAAACTGCCACAAGACAGGTAACATTACAGCTGAAATGCAGACAACCAAATGAATGGAACACACTAAAGCAGTGGTCCCCAATCATTTCGTGCCTACGGGCACATTTGAGAGTTTATGAGATCGTGGCGGGCACCAACCAATTAACAAAGCCAAATTTTCTTTTCTCTGGACAAATAAGATATGGACACCAAATAATACACAAAACAACATGATGTTTAATGATACAAGAAACCGTGCAATCAAAAATACATAGTTTTATAAGTACAATTATTATTACTCAAGTGGGAAGTTAGTGTGATGTTTGGCACTGCATTTCATCGGCCAGTTTTTGAAATTTGGGAGTGTAGGATGATGTTGCTGCTCGCAAACAATTGTCAAGATGGGCGTCAGTAAGTCGAGATCTGTGCTTTGATTTTATAATGTTCATGGTTGAACGGCCTTCATTAATCAGTATAACCTCTTTCCGTAACAATATGGGCACCCAAAAAAAGCCTTGGCGGGCGCCGTGTTGGGGACCACTGCACTAAAGCATCATTTGCAAATGTCCCTGACCATAACTAAATCAAACTAAGAAGCATTTGCAAATCCAAACACAATTCTCATGCAAATAATATCCTATTAATCCACAAATTAAAAATGCAATATCAATTCATCCAAAAAATGAAATCATGACAGGTAATGGTCTAAAATGATCACAAATGTAGAAATCTGTTTTTTGCCAAGATGCAGGATTTTGTTCTACAGAGGTTTATCCTACACTCCCACCACACTCATGGTATGGTGAAAGACACTCTACTATCCAATGCAGCAAACACATTATTTATTTTGTTACCATGACAGTTAACTACAACAGGCAGTTGCTTTAACTGGATATCCCAATTTACAGGTCTATACTTCAGCAATCAGGTCTACATATACAGTATCAAATTACATACCAATATTGCAACCCAAGAAGCCTATATGGTATTTATGTAACATGAAGATATGGATCTTACAAAGATTATTTGTGTGAATATATAAAGCAATATACACCAATGCAGACAAATGTCAGTGTTTGGAGTGTTTTGCTTGCAAAGTTATTGTCTTATTTTTACCACAGCCATTACCGACAAAATTAACTATATTTCTCGTTACGTCCCTTATATTACATAAAGGTACTTACTACAACTAACGGTATTTAGAAATATAAAGTTTGCTAACTGCACATCACCTGTTCTCTGCTTTGGCTAATGAACTGTTGTTAGGGTCCGTCGATGCTATAAGTGGAATCTTAGCATAATTGTGAGTTTCCAGAATTGGATGTGGTGTTAGGTATGAATCTGAATCACTGAGAGAGCAATCTTTGTTCTTTCCTTCCAAGTTAATGGATGCAGAATTCTTTGGGCTGTTTCCTTCGGGAACTGACGGATGCGTTCCATTCAACTTAATTTTCTCACTTTCCCCATTCTTCTGAAGGTCTTTCTTTACATTTTCACAGACAGAACTAGCACTGACACCTTCCAATTCTTTTTTCTCATCACCAGTTTCCATCTCATCTTTGCCGTTCGTCAGTTCTGGATGAGTTAGCTTTACCAGCTGCTGCAGGGCTTCCAGCACTATTTGTCTGTAAACAATAAACACATTAATGTAAAATGGCTTCCTTATCAAGCAACTAAAACAGTTACAGAATAATGAACAACAAGTTTCATAAACAAGTAGCTCCTGAGGACAACCTGTAAATAGCCAAACCACATGCAGTAATAATCAGCAACACAAAGCATAATTAGTAACTGTAACAAATGACTGGTTTAATGATGAAAAAAGTAAATGATAAAACAGCTAAAACAATAATCTAAAGAAAGAGATAAAATTACTGAAAACAACTTTGGTACACAGAATTTGACTCGTAAGAATAGTCTATGTATTATGGAATCAAATTTACCTATTAGTTTTTAACATCTTCAGTTTGTGGGTCAATGCGAGTCTTTTATCTGGAACAACAGCCATCAGATTGAATCGAATATCATGATATGGTTCTCCAGTTGCAATCCCCAGCCTGTCTTTAATTACACGACGGAACTTCTCAGTCCAGTCTTCCTTATCACCCCAAGGTCCTGTAATTCAGAACAATAGCTGCAGAGAACAACAGTATACACACACTTAGAAATTCATAAACAAATTTATATTTGAAGACTTCTGTCTTCTGGGTTGTTGTTCAGAGGTCATACTGCCTCCGTCATCAGGACGATGATGGAGGCAGTATGACCTCTGAAACGTTGGTTAACATCGACCAGACTACATAGCGCAACAACCCAGAAATCTTCATACTCGCCACTGTGAAAACCTCAAATCTTACAAATTTATATTTAAGTTCAAACTAAGTCTGTAATAAAATAATGACGTAATAATACAAATTTCACAAATGAAAACATCACCACCCTATGAAGTTTTCTCCAGTGATGGCCATCATATAATTGCCTTCTCAATTCTCTGTCCTCAATAAACACTCATACTGAGCCTGTGCCCCGACTTCACAGCTTCTTTTCTGTATATCTTTATTATTATATCTCTTCACATTGCCTCTAGACTCTCCAGTGGTCAATCATTCAATATTAGTTCCAAAGAACTCAAATGATCTTATCATCATCCATGCATAATATATGTATACAACAATATATCCTTGATTTGACAAACAAAACGTTAATAATAAATACTCAACATTTTCATGACAAGTTTCTGCATTTGAAACACATTTTTGCATAAGTATGTTATTCTTTTAAAATTCTGTTGATCTGACATGTTGCTTGTGAGGTCACCTTGTGCTCCGTACTACCTGAAATCCCAAATTTCATACTACACTGCCAACTGTTAAACCCTGGCAGAAAAATCCAAAGGTTCAAAACCTCCATTACCAAAGCTAGCCATATGATACGATCCTGGGTCAGTTCCACCTGCCACTACTTCTCATCACCTATTTCACTAAATATTCAACTTAATGTTATTCTTTCATTTAGTGCTCGTATGTCCCAAGTGGCCATTTCCCCATCAAAATTCTGAATTAATTTCTTTCTCTTTAATCCTATCTACATGTCCAACCCACTACAGCCTCCTATCCTAATAATACTAAATAAAATACTTGGCAAACAAAGTGTGCTTACCATGGTCCATAGGAAAAGGTTTCAAGCCATCAAGTTCAAACAGTCTACCACGAATGGGTACATAGCTGACAAAGTGGAAGGCTTCACCTGTATAACGTCCTGTACTCACACCCGTTGACTTATCAAGACGACGCTTTGCTTGAGGCATTGCATGAGAATTGTGAGCTTTAGCTAGCTCTGGCGTGTTCCCTATGGCCCATCCCTGTAAAGACAAAGCAACAGCTAAAGAAATGACATCAATATTTAGAACTGGATTTATTTATTTCAGATTGGTGGGGTCTTGCAGTATAATTTCAAAACAAATGCTTAAATAAACATCTAATTTTACAACACAATAGGTCTCTGTATGGGAATTAAAGTTAGCAAAATTAAAACCTCTTGGCTTGACTTCACAAACTGCATGATAACTTTTCTGCACTGTAACAGTGTTTCTTTTGACTTCTATCTATGCAAACACTTAATGTAAAATTATTATCTTTCACCTGACCAGAGTGACAAATTTACAACGACCAGAATTTAATCTTTGAACATAAATTTAAGCCAGGCTTCCTACTTACTTCATGTTCTCATGGTTTTCTAAAGATATGAAATGTTTAACCTAAGTAATGCTGCCAAAAGTATACCTTGTTCTCAGGGCACATGCCAGATGTGTGAGCTTTGAGACGACTCAACGTGGCACCAAGATGAATATTAGAACAGTTCAGAAGCACAGAGAGCAAGGCATGTGTTGCACAGCTGTTGGGAACCATCTGTAAAATAAAACATATCATTACTGAGCCACATGCAACTATCACTGTCACACATGAACACTTTGGTTCCTGGAGAGTTCCATGTTTCACAAGACCAGATTTATTAAAGCTGTAATTTATGGAAAAATTGAATTTGAGAATTCAATCAGTAGTTAAATACTTAACTAAATGGACAACTGTATTAGTCATGTACTTCCCCCCATTAGGTTCTTCCAAATGAGGAGGGAAAAACCCATTATACATTATACGAGGGTCGCTCATTAAGTAATGCCCCACATTTTTTTCCTCAGAATATATTTATTCAAGATGGCTGAAATTTAGTGACAATATAAATCAATGTTTCCTTTACACATACTATTTTTCCACATAGTCCCCAT